CGATGTCTGGCCACGGACGTGGCCACGGCGTTCGCATTTCGGAAGCCGTTCGGGCACCTGGACTCGCCAGACTGGGAGCACGATGGAAACAGGGCCGTCCAGAGCTTCGGTAGGCTGGGGCTCTTCAACCGGCAGGCCAACGGACTTGTCATGAAGGTCTTGCGCAGCATCCCAACATGGCTGGCGGTGGCGCTGAACCCGGGGGGTGGAGGGGTGGAGGGGTTCTTCAAGCAGCTGGCCGTCGTGGTGAATACCGAACTGGCCGCCGCAAAGTCAAAGTCTAGCCCTCGGGGGGGAGGGAGGAGGAGTGGAGGGGAGGGACAAGGAGAGGAGGAGGAGGCACAGGTCAACATCATCCGGCAGATTCTGAACAGCAGCCTCCCACCGGAGGAAAAGACCCCTTATAGAGTGGCCGCGGAGTGTTCCTCCGTCACGCTGGCCGGCACGGAGACCACGGGCAGCATACTAGCTTTTACAACGTTTCAACTGCTCTCCTGCGACCATCCCCCGAAGCTGCCCGCGCTGCAAGAGGAGCTTGCGCAGGCGCAGCAGAAGAATGGGGGGAAACGGCTGACGTATCAGGAGCTGAAGGAGCTTCCATATCTTGTGAGTCCCTCTCCCATTTAATGATTCTTTTGCGGATTTTCTGAGGCTGACTGTGAGTGTATAGACCGGCGTCGTTAACGAAGGGCTTCGGTACAACCCCTTATATCATTTATGCACTACTCTGGGTGAAAGAAGGCTGACAGTTGTTGTCATAGACTCCACAGCGTCTCGGGCCGTCTGCCAAGATACGATCCGACGCAGGGCATGACGTACCAGGATTGGTATATACCCAAGGGCGTAAGTCCCCTTTATTATCATTATTAACCCCAGAAATCACACCAAGATAACTAATGTGTGTTTGGTGACAGACAATCGTATCAACGACCCCAAACGACACCCACTTGGCGAATGATATCTTCCCCATCTCATCCTGGTTCGTCCCCGAGCGATGGATGGATCCAAGCCAGCGCAAGAGACTGAGCAAGTACCTTCTCCCGTTTGGAAGGGGGACCCGGAGCTGCCTGGGTATGGAAATCGCGACAATGGAGCTCTACATCACATTTGCCCGGTTATTTGGCCCGGACTCGTGCATGGATCTGGAGCTGTATGATAGCAAATGGCAAGACGTGTGGATGTATCACGACTTCTTCTCGCCGTTTCCGAAGAACAAGAAGGGCGTCAGGGTGTTTGTGAGATAATTAACTAGACGTCTGTGTGTGTGTGAACGGCGGGCACCGGCCACCAGCGTCGCCTCCAATCATTTTAGCGTTATCGCGCAACCCTGGAATAAATATCTTGGCATCCCGGCGTTTCGTTATCCGTTATCTGGTGTGCCACCTGCTTATCTGTGACCAACCCCAGAGCTTCCTCTGACTCGATTGGATGTGCTTACAGCTGTTGCAGCAGTTTCCATCCCAGACATCCCACCCGATATCCGAACGAACGAAAGACGGGCATTGAGTTATCGCCGTATCAAACCCTGTCGACCTCGGTCGATTTCGAGAGGGAGATTGTTTGTTTTCGAGATCTAATCAGCAATAGTATGACTGCGTTCATGTCATTTCATGAGCGGTGCCCGACCGAATTCGAGATATTGTGCTGTAATTACCGAGTGGTAGGGCGATCCCGCCGACTTCCGTTGGGTCTCGATTTCTGCAACTGAAGAATGTGCAGGTGTCGATTCGGCATGAGCGAGACATCTAGGTCAAGTGATAGATATTTCCATGCGTTAAAACTCCGCGGGATGGGTAGGCAGTGAAGTTGAAGGAACTCGGCACCCGTGTATGTGTGTGTCCCATAAAAATGTAGGCGCTGTAGAACTGTGGGTGTGTGTGTTCCAGAGGGGACGGGAAGATCGGCATGCGCAGCGCGACACACGCACACACACACACACACGGTTCGGTTCCGGGCGCGTGGTCATCGGTCCAGTCCGCCGTCCGCCGTCCGCCGTCACTATCACACACACACACACACACACTGGCACACTGGTCCCAATTCCTGGGCCATGTTCATCTCATCTCATGACAAGCAATTCTGGACTGCCTCTAATTGCCGATTAACGTGCAAAGTACCTAACGTAGTGCGGGAATTGGAGACACACTTGCAGGCTACCTACCTTAGCTCCAACTACTCCAACAGACTTGGGGTCTTATCTTGGTACATACCCTTGTCTGACTTGACCGAACGTAGGCTTGCATACATTAGTCTATATACATACATATAAATCCAGCCCCGCGCCAGGTCCATCCATGCGTCAGACTTACACCGGTCCATCTCGACACAGACTGTCGTGTGCGTTAATTAACACCTGGTCTTCTTTCCATTGACCGGTGTTTTTTATTCTCAATTGCTCCGAGCTAGTTACACAGTCTACGTGTCATCAAGACAGACACAATGGACGAAGACCAAGTCCCCTCGCAAATCATCCCCGATGATCTGACTCCCCCCCGGCGGCGGGGGCGTGGCTTGTCCGACCGGCTCCACGGGGCGAAGAAGGCCCTTTTTACCAGGGAAGGGCTAATCGGGAATTATGACTACGCCTTTCTGTTCCGCCCGAACCTACCGTTCATGAAGAAGCCTACCCAGCCTGCCCCCTTTTTCGGCCTGAACGACCGGATGCCCATCCTGCTCGCGCTCCTTCTCGGCTTCCAACACGCGCTGGCCATGTTGGCGGGTATCATCACGCCCCCGATCATCATGAGCGGCGCGGGCGGTGCCAACCTCTCTACCGGTCAGACGCAGTACTTGGTCTCCACGGCTTTGATCGTCAGCGGCCTGCTTTCGGTGATTCAGATAACGAGGTTTCACATCTACAGGACGCCGTAAGCCCCCCCCCCCCCTTCTGTCACCCCCACCCATGCTGACGTGGCCTAGATACTACATCGGCACAGGCCTGATCTCGGTCGTGGGCATCAGCTTCGCCATCATCCCGGTGACGACGGGCGCGTTCAGCCAGATGTACGCCAACGGGTTCTGCCCGTCCGCGGCCGACGGCACCCCGCTGCCGTGTCCGGACGGGTACGGGGCGGTCATCGGCACGGCTGCCGTCTGCGCCCTCCTGGAGATCCTCATCTCGTTCGTCCCGCCGAGGATCATGCTGCGCGTCTTCCCGCCGATCGTCACCGGCCCGACGGTGATGCTGATCGGCATCAGCCTGATCCAGAGCGGGTTCCAGAACTGGGCCGGAGGGGCGGGTCTCTGCGCGGAGGCGAACCCGCCGTCCGACTTCTTCGCGCTCTGCCCGGACATCACGGCGCCGCATGCCCTCCCCTGGGGGTCTGCCGAGTACCTCGGTTTGGGATTCAGCGTCTTCGTCGCCATCATCCTCTGTGAGAGATATGGAGCGCCGATTATGAAGAGCACCAGCGTGGTGATTGGCCTGTTGACTGGGTGCATAATCGCCGCGGCGACCGGGTACTTTGACCGCAGCGGCATCGACTCGGCGCCCGCGGTGTCGTTCATCTGGGTGGAGACGTTCAGGCTGACCGTCTACGGCCCCCTGGTGCTGCCCATGATGGCCGTCTTCATCATCTGCGCCTGCGAAGCCATTGGGGATATCACGGCCACCTGCGACGTGAGCAGGATAGAGGTGGAGGGCAAGATTTATGAATCCCGCATTCAGGGAGGTGTTCTTGCGGACGGTATAAACGGGGTGCTCGCGGCGTTGTGCACCATCACGCCCATGACCACGTTCGCGCAGAACAACGGCGTCATTGCGCTCACGAGGTGCGCGAACAGGAGTGCTGGGTATTGCTGCTGGTGAGTCTCCCGACCCCTGACCCCTTTTTTTGGCATTTGATGCTGATGGAAAGGGGGTACCTGTATTAGTTTCTTCCTAGTGGTAATGGGTATATTCGCCAAGTTCGCCGCCAGCCTGGTCGCCATCCCCAGTCCGGTCATTGGCGGGATGACTACTTTCCTGTTCTGCGCTGTTGCGGTGTCCGGCATCGCAATTATCGCGAGGGGCGTTCCCTTTAACCGGAGGAACCGGTTCATCCTGACGGCTGCGCTCGCCCTGGGCTACGGAGCGACGCTGGTCCCGACGTACTTTTCTCGCGTGTTCAAGTACTCTGGCGACAACAAGGGCCTGCAAGGGTTCCTGGACGCCATTGTCCTTATCATGGAGACGGGCTTCGCTGTCACCGCCATCATGTCCATGGCGCTCAACCTTACGCTTCCGGTAGAGATTGAGGACGTTGTCACTGACACGGATGGGGATGTACTCAGGGATGACGCCGCCAGGCCGGCAAACACGACGGGGAAGGAGATGACGGAGGAGGGGAGTGTTGATGCCAAGGGGGACAAACTCGCCTGACCATAAGAAGGGGGTTCAGGGGGGCGGAGGTTGGATATGGGAAAACGTGTATATGATGTTTGGATACCTATTTGCTTGCTACTTTATATATCATGCTTCGTGTATTATATGACCTCCGTGACACCCAAGACGGCGAGGAGTTGACGGACAGTGTGAACTGAGGATTGACTGCACTTCCACCACCGTCCTGCCCTCCCAATTACCAATAGAAGATGACAGAGAGTTTTCGGGCCAACCCTTTTCTCTCTCCACGAAGATAAGGCACATAGCTAACCACTGCATACGGTGCCTCTACGTTCATATTTCCAAGGTGCTAAGGCCTGCGCCAAAAATGAACCGTCGGGTAGGGTCATAACTAACCACCAGATAAAGTGCCTCTACGTTCAAGGGTTCAAGATGTCAAGGACGGGGAACTGCAACACATAACGAGAAAAAGATGAAAAGATAAAAAAGTACGGTCCGGGCTGAGACTCTCCCGCCGGGAATTGAACCCGGGTCCCGAGCGAGTCGCTCACCTTCACCATCTCCGAAAGATGACGATGAGGTCGATGATGACAAGCTCATATACTAACCACTATACTACGGAAGATTGGATGGATCTTTGTCATGGAAGTGGACTCCCACGTAGATTGTTAAGAGTCTCGGATACCGGGAGTCGAACCCGGGGCTGTTGAGTGACTTCTCTATCTGAAGATTGAGAGTCAACGATGTTACCGCTACACCATACCCGACTGTTGTTGCTTCCAGGAAATTTAAAAGAGTTTATGGAGTGGGTGGTTTGTGGATATGAAGGGTTTTGCGTGTGGAGCTGTGGGGTTTCGGGTGTGGGCACTGCAAAGAGAAAAGAGGATTCGCCAAGACACGAATTGAGATATCCTGTAGACGAGCACGATGCTAGATTCTCTGCCCGTGCCAATAGCTGCCCTGCCCAAATGCAACAAACAAACAGCTGTCAGTAGTCGCCTCAAGACGAGTAACCGCACCATCTCATTGTGTTCGGTTACGTCTCTCCGTGAGATATTATATATTATCCTGTCATATGACCATATCGTAAGTACAGTACGTAAGCTCTATAAACACAGCAACCCTTCTAACAGGGTCTTAACCACCCATCACGCCGCTATTTGACCAACGCTAGGATCAAGTACCACCAACCCCGAAATTTTCCAAAGAACCAAAGAAGAAGAAGAAGCGAATTAAGCACTCGGTAATCCAAGCTTATTATTCGTCTTCCTCGTCATGACCTTTGTAATGGCATGTCGGATAGTCGTGCCAGCCTTTTCGATTTCCTTCTTGGACAGTCCGCTCGTGACACACACCTTGAGCGCGGGCTGGACAATCCATATTCCATCCTTGAGTCCGTTGCTGGTCGATACCGGCATTCCCTTTAATCTGGTGATCAAGACGCCGTTTGCGAGAGACTGTTTTCCTTGTCAGCTTGGCTCCCCCCCTTCCCTGCTTAATCAAGTTGCTAACGTACCTCGTCAACACACTCCTGCAACAACCTCTCCTGGTCCTCCACCGCGAGCCTCCTCGCCTTCACCACCTCGGGCTTGAGCACCAGCACCATGATTGGGTTTTCCGGTGCGGAGGTGCACATGACCCAGTCAGACCTGGGGTCCAGCTGTCCCCGCATGGCCTTGATGTTCTCCCTGCACTGCAGGAGTATCTCCGGGTTGGACTGCAGGACGTTCAGTGACTCAGAAGCGATCATGGCCAACATCGCAGGCAGCGCTGCAGAAAACGTATAACTGGCTGCGGAAATGCGCTGATGCTCAACCACATCTTTCGGCCCCGCGCAGAACCCGCCACCCGCACACAGCGGTCCGGCAAGACTGCCGACGATCATGTCCAGCTGCGTAGGATCCACGTTTTGCGCCTCAGTAAGTCCCCGACCAGTCCGTCCGAGAACACCAAACGACCACGTCTCGTCCAGGATTATCCGAAACTTGTACTTTTCCTTGAGCTCAATCTACGCTCCTCTATCAGCCTTCGTTCACCCTTTATACCCCACAAGTTTTACGTACCAGTTTAGGAAGGTCAGAGATGTCACCGGTAGCCTCAAACAGCGCCTCAGTAACGATGAACCTCCTTGTTAGCTTCTTGCGGGCCTGTTCTTGGACCACCTTCTGCATCACCCGTTCGAGGTCCTGCATATCGCCATGGTTGTACCACTTGATATTCGACCGTGACACCTCGAGACCCTTGCGGATGGAGTAGTTCACGGCGCGGTCGGCAATGATGACGTCTCCTCTCTTGCAAAACGCCGGAATAACCGAGCTGATAGTCGAGAACGCCTGCGCATAAACGATACACCCCTCAGTCCCCAGGTAGCTAGCGATGTCGGCCTCCGTCTTCATGTGCACGTCCTGCGTCCCATAGAACTGCGGCGGTCCGCACGGTCCCACGCCATACGTACGCAGCGTCTGGATGGCCTTTTCCTTGATCTGCTCGTTCGCGTTGAGGTTGTAGAAGTTGTACGACGCCAAGTTCGTGACCGTCTTGCCGTTCGCCAGCTTCGACTTTGGTCCAGTGGGGCCGACCAGAATAGGCAGTTTCTCGGACTCGATTTCCTCGAGCGATGTTTGGGGAGAGACCAGAGGCTCCGGAACCCATTCGTCTACCAGCTCGTCGATCTCCTACACACACAGAGACAGAGACAGACACGTTAGCTTGTGTTCTCGTTCGAAACTAAAAGAGTAGGGCAGGGTCCCCGGGGGGTGGGGGAGAAAAGAGGCGTACGTCTTCAGTAAGTTTGATAAAGTTCTGCTTGCTCGTGGAGTAACTCGGCGACAACAAGTATCGTATAAAAAAGATGACCAAGATCAGCTCGATCGCAGACCGCACCGGATCGTTCTGGTACGATGACCTGACATAACGGATGAGGACGGCCGACCCGGGCACCTTTTGGAACTGGTACGACGCCTCGGACAGCCAGTCCACCAGCTGCGATTGAACCTCGTGGAGGTCCATTGTTACCTCCGGTCGTTCGTCGATTTACTGCTGCTGCTGCTGCTGATTGTGGTGTTGTGGCGCAGGCATTTAGAAAAAGTCTTAGGTTGACGGCAAGTTCGGCATGTGTGCATGCGACGGAGACACACCTGCGTCAGTCACGCCCGTTGGAGGCCGTTCTTTTTTGGGGGGCAGTCGCGTCCCGTCCGTCCAGTCGTTGCGTAGAACGGTCAGGGGAAATTGGGGGAGCTTTTTAAAACCAATCACAGAGCCCCATGCAACATGCAACAACCAACCCGAAAGGATTCAAAAAATTGGTCCCACTTTTGCCTCCTAAACACACGAGACGAAAACGTTAATTACCGTGCTCCCGCCGTGCCAACTCTTTAATTCTGGCACTGTGCGTACAAAGTACCACATTGTATACACAGTATGTAAGCGTTCAGAGAGAGACGGGAGTGAGGAATATCTACAGAAATTTACGTAAGTCCGACACTCTCGTCCTTCATAAGGAGATACTTGACTTTCCTTATCGTACCATGTCTCAGCTTCTGCATCACAATCACCAAGACATGTTCACTGCAAGACAAGCAACAAGCAAGTACACGGGGCAGTGAGGGAAAACTAGGTATAATTATAACCCTATGTAAACCCCCCCGTCTTCCCACCTCGAGTGGACTTGATTAGAGGGCATATTTACGCCAAAAAAATGTTTTAGAGAGTACGAGTCTAGTAAGAAAAAAGTTCCGTTTACCATCCATGCCTTGCCGCCCCCAATGTGTTGTGATTTGCGTAAAACGAAATACAAAGCACTGCAACAAGTTACATTCATGAATCCATCCTTTAATCACTAAGAAAAGAAAACCCATATGGCTTCTTTGTGCATTGTTTCTGAGTCCTCTGTGGGATCACAGAGGAGCAGTTATGATACAAGAGAGGGTGTTTTTTGTCGTATCGTCGTCAATTAGATAAGCAGCATCTTGGCCGCAGTGGACGACGCGGTGGCCGAAGGCGTGTAGGCTCCCGTGTAGCCGGGAGCGCCGGTGCCGGTCTGGTTGTGGCCATTTGTGTCGTCGTTGTTCTGTCCAACCGGCTGCATCAGGTTCAAGGGGATCTTACTGGTCAGGCTGGTAGGAATGCTCTTGCCCGCAACGATAGGCCCGGCGATCAAGGCGACGAACACGATGAGCATGGTGAAGTAGAGAACCGCATATCGGAAAACACGCCTCCTCCGAAGCTTGGACTGCTTCATGGAGTAGATAGGCGGGCGGATTTGGCGACTGTCGACTGATTAGCTTGGATTACTCGTGCCACGAGAGCAAAATGAACATACCTTGGGCGAAGCCAGAAAAGCATCATCGAGTGCAGCTTGTCAACCTGAGGAATAAGAATGACAGGCAGCATCAAGAACAAGATAATGTGTCCGAGGATGAAGTCAGCGGCAAACATGCTCAGCTCGGTGATCTTGCAGAGGAATTCACGAGCAGGCTGAGAGACAGAGTGCCAACCCATGGAATACCACTTGCCGGTCCAGAAGGCGATGTTGGACTGGTCCGTCTTGAATTCTCTGGTAAGCGCCAAGCCGACGATGAGCTTCAAGACGAAGCGCTGAATAGCCACAACCGCGATCATTCCCAAGAGCGTATTGGCGAAAACGAAGCCTTGCAGGAAGAACATAACCTCGAAGAAGACCAGAAGCATGATGACGGCGATAGCGTGGGCAATAGCGGCGAGAACACTACCAAACTTCTTGCAGCACATGCTCAGGACAGGACCCATGCAGCAAGCCATGGCGAAGAAGAAAAGCAGAGCACCCGCGTTGATGGCAATGGGAGCCAACGCCACGATACCGACTCGGATAAGAGCGGCCGTCTTCTTGGCACTGGGGTCATTGTGCTTGTTCGGGCCGTCGACACCGGTTTGCGCATTGACGAACAGGAAGGGAATGACCGTGACAAGCACAAGGAGCAGCGGCGCAAGAAATTCTGCCCAGAACATGTTGGTGATGGCAGCGCGAGGCACGTCGGCCGACATCTTGCTAGAGGGATCGCCGAGAGCCTTACGCTTGTAACCAGTAATACGGGTACGAGAGAGGCGGCAGAAGGCGATCCAGGACGAGGCGTGCGATCGAGAGTTACCGCGGGAGAGCCAACGGAGGAAGTCGCGGTAGTCGATGAAGAAGTCGTTCCAGGCAAACTGATGCGGGTTGTAGAGGAAGGGCGACACCATCAAGGCCACCAGCGAAATCCAGAAGTAGACAATGGCCGCCTGCCACACCGTCATGGAAGCAAACAGCAGCATCATGACCATGCGGGCGCCAAAGTAGATGGAGGGGCCGGCGAATCGAGAGTAGAGAACACCGAAGGGAATGCGGGCCGTCGCAAAACCACGGCCAGTACCGATATATCTGGCTCCGCCGAACGACAGGTCCTGCTGCACCGAGTTGGCGTAGATCTGGCACACAAAGACCTCGAAGAAGGGCGAGAAGGAGCAGAACTGCTTGATGAAACGGGTGAGGGCACGCCAGAAGCCACGCTCCGTCAACTCCTGGACGGTAAGAGGGACGAACGAGAGGAAGAAGACGAAGAAGATGGACAGGATACTGCGGTAGATCCAGTCCAGGAGCGCATCCGTGTTCGCACAGCCCGTGGGGAAGAGCGGATCGGTGATGGGCACGTTGCGGTTGTAGTCGCAGGGAATGGTCTGCATCTTCAGCACGCCGATGTTGAGCAGGCAGATCATGAACAGCTGCACCGACAGCATGATGAACATGTTGTTC